AAAATGAGTGATCAAGCATCCAATAATAACGTGATCACAATCCAATCGTCTGATTATTCGAAAATCGATTCTGAATCAATCGAAACCGCAGATGTTTATTCAACTCCACCGAATGAACTCAATTATGAGTTGATGAGCGATATTCATGGATCTAAGCACGATAGCGATTCGCCAATGCCCAATGATCGAGTGACATTCCAATCTGATCTTCACAATACTAATCAGTCTAATAATGTATGTGCAATGCAGTGCCACGACGCGAGATCGGAGCTCGATTCTGAGCTCAAAACTAATGAGAACGATTTTGAGATGAGCTCGACTCAACCTCAAGTAATTGAAGTTGTCGGCGAAGATGAACAAATCGATCTATCGAACAAATTCGTAAATAATGTTCACTGCAATACTGATAACGATGAGCAAAAGTGTTTTGATCAAACTATTGCCAATAATCTGCCTAATCGTGCCTCAACAATCTCACAAGATGGTGACAATGCAAAAGAGAAGAATGCTCCGAAAAGGAAACTCACTTATCACGGTAAATTGTTGTTGTTGTTGTTGTTGCTATCACAATGGCGCTTAAATGTATTTCAATACAACAAAGAATTTCAGGAGCGGAAACAGACTGGCCTCAAGTGCGATTAATATCATCGATTCTGTTTCTTGGATGCATTCAGATGTTTGTTATTGGCATGTCTGAATGGCCGTACATGCAACAGGTACACTCAATATTTCATATTCACTGAAAATGCCATCTGAGGATTGATGTTCGCTGCGGAGAGTGTTGCTTGAAACCGCTTGAAATTCAGGTTGATAAACAAGCGACATCGACATTTTTCGGTTACGTCGGATCAGTATCAGCACTTGGACACGCCATCTGTGCTCCATTAATGGGATATTGGAGTTCTGCAACCGGACAGACCAAGTACGCTAACAGCTAGCTGATCGTTAATTGATTGAGTACCGTTCAACAGAGTGACAATTCACTAATGAAAGCTCTTAGTTCTGATTTGATTCAGTATCATGGAAAAGACTCTAATTTGTCATCATTTGATGGCATTCCAAATCAAATTAAAATGCCAAATTAAATTCGACCCAACACTTCAATTCAACCTCATCTATTTGTGATCTGCACTGATCAAAATCGCCCTCACTGAAACTACGAGCGATTGAAAGTGCGATATAAAAGATGATTATTAATCAGTCTAGAACTCATTGTCAGTAATCTTCGTTAATCACAACAGAAATCCGATGATAGCAGGTCGAATAATAGCACTGGTGGGTTGTGCATTATACGTTTGCCTGGAGCTGTTTCCACGCGATCGTAGATACGTGATGCTCACCTGTTACACCATATTCGGGATATCGATGAGTCAGTTAGTTGATTTTTGGCATCATTAAGCGTGAATAATGAAACAAATATCAGGTTCTGTAAGTGTAATGCGAGGTTATGTGGCCAAGATCAGCACACCGAATGACCGAGCTCGAGCTGTCAGCATGTTTGGATTGGCCGTTATGCTTGCAGTTACAGTTGGACCAAGTAATGAAGCTTCAAATTTTGAATTAGCGATAGCTATGGTGCTTTGAATAATGATCTGTTTCGTATTGATATGATAATTGCAGTGTTCCAAATGTTCTTCACAACATTATCATTCCCGGGCATCGATATGTTCGCTGGGAAATTCTGGCTTAACATCTACACAGGCCCGATCTATGTGGCTTTAGTCGCCAATATTGCTAGCTTGATCTTGATCATCTTCTTCTTCAAGGAAAAACACTTCGACCGACATCCACCAGGAGATAAGAAAGGTTATTGTGATCACTGTCATTGTCATTGTCATAGCATAAATTTGACAATCTCTATCAAACTGCAGTATCTCTGCAACGTAAAGAATCGCAGGCAAAGGCAGCTCTGACCACTGATATGCGATCCTTCAATATCCCTCTCGCCTTAACATGCATCTTCATTCGAATGGCTGGCACATTAACTATCGTCACCATAAATACGTTCGTGCTGTTATTTGTTATGACCAACTTTGTTGCAATTATTTATTTGCATTTTGATCTCTCGATCATCATTCAATCAAATTATATTGATGAAATGACAAACTATTAATGACAATCAAATTATAACTATATTAATCATATTATTAATGACAAAATAGTATTTATCAACTGACAAATCAATCAAATTATAACTAATAACGAAGTATCAATCACAGAACAACATCACCGATGATGATGTCTGTTTTCGGATGGTCAAATACGCGTACAGTTCGAATTGGATCAGTGGCTCAGGCTTGCGTTGGCATTCTCAGTTTATCCATTTTTGTGGGATTTACCACTGGGAAATTCAACAAAATGTTCGTTCCACTCATTTATCATTCTCATCACTCCTACTATGATTCACCATTATTGCTACTGCTATCATTAGTATTGTTATTACTATTGTTANGCAGAAATTAAGTGTGAACAATGAAATTTCAGTTTGAGTCAACGCAAGGGTGCTCTTGTATCATGCCTTCTTTTCGTGTTCTTCTTCATCATTACGTATCCATGGTCGTTTGCTGCTCGACCGATACCCATGCGAAATGGTTATCCATTTTCCTTTATTGCAATAATATCGTTTGTTACTCATCACCAATAATACCTCTCTGAACAATCCGAATAAACTCTAAAAGTATCGAAAAACAATTTCAGTCGCAGCCAATATAACCGGATGTAACCCGACGATATACGAGTGGTGTGCTGACTCGTTACAAGTCAAGCCATTCGTCTATCTGGCGTCGATGGTAGTTGTGCTCGGTATTGCGATCACCCTCGCAACGATCGCAGTCGACACTCTCTACTCGAGGATTTTAGGCAATATCGATCAGGTATAGCAAATCGATCACAGAAGAGCTCTATAATGATCCAACTCAATCCTCTTACCCGGATTAGATCTCAATCAAAACAATATTAATCACTTTTAATCACTCAACAATGAGCCATCATTGCAATGCCTCAAATGAACAATATTCAGGGTACCATGCAAGGGTTCTTCTTGTTCTGCATGGATATAATCAATGTGCTCGGTCCTCTAGCTATTGCGTAAGTTATCTTGATGATTCGCATTTGCATCCTTCAATTTCTCCTCATAAAACTAAATTTCAGTCCGTTGTTCACCTCGTCCGGTCAAAAATATATCTGGCCTATTAATGGTAGCGTCGCTGTAGCAGCCACAATTGCGTGTTTATTCGCTTATGCTAAATTTCCTCGTTAATTGATTTCGTTATCAATACTTTTTCATACTGCTATAACACCATTGTATCATCTCATTTATTCATATCATCATCATCATCATCAGTTATCTCATTATTCCAGTTCCGCTCTAGTTAATCCAGTAGTTCTCACAGGGGGTAAAATTACCTACTTTGGGTAATTTAGAGGTGTCAAGAGATAATGGAGGGGGTCGGGAAATTAGCATTTCGTGCACTTGTTATAATAGTTGCG